CACTCAACAACTGTTTATGAAATCCTAGTAGACCTATCCTAATGATATGGTCGTAACACAAAATTTTTCTTGTGGGGCTTAATTTAGTGACAGGCGAGTAACAATAAAAGGAAACAAGTTTATGAAAGAAATTTTAGTTAATGATGAGTAGCATTAAGGAAACAAAACAAGGTAACCTGTTTGCTGGGTATGGACACCAGTGGAAATACTTGATACTTGAAATTTTGGGGGTTCAATGCAGTAGAAACCCAGTCCTCACTCATGAACTGTCCAGATTGGAGGCCCAGCTTATTGACTTCTCTTCTTGTGATCTAGATACCCAGATTCCTTGCATTTTGTGCTCTTCCATCATCTAGGGACCCTCTTCCTACATGCTACTAAGAGACAGAAATAGAGTTTAGAAGATTATGGGGGGTATTTTCAAGGACCAGGCTTAGTGGGCTTATTCAAGATGACTTGTATTTCACTGCTCAACTGGTCAGAACACAGTTCCATGGACATACTTAACCTCAAAGCTGGTTTTGTGCTCCAGAAGAAAAAAGGGTTTTCCTAAAACAGTTTCTTCTACTGCATTGGTAGGTGGTAAGAGAGGGATCAGGAATATTAAATCTCAGACTCCACTGAAATAATTTTTGAATAGAAAACTGAATAAAAAGGGGACTCCACTAAAAATAGTTTTGAGTAGAAAGCTGAATAAAGAGGGGAGGGGGACGGAGGGGGGGAGGGGGAGAGAGAGAGAGAGAGAGAGAGAGAGGAAAATAAAAAGAGAAGAGTGTTAGACCACGAGAGAAACAAGAAGGCCAGTGTGACAGCTTTATGTTTTTATGTTTTCCTTTCTTCCTTTCATCCCCTCCTCTCTCTCTCTCTCTCTTTCTCTCTCTCTCTCTCATCCTGATAGAAAACAGGGTTCTGAATGAGAACATAAGCTATTTATTGCTCACGGATCACCCTGTTATGCTCCGTGCACCAAATTTTCTTGGGGGATAACAGTGGGAGCTACCTTAAGTACACTGTATGTGTACAGTGGGTTTATGTACCATGGAAAAGGAAGGCCAAATTATGAATTTCAGTTTCCTTCCAGGGATGAGAAGGAGCGGGGTGGGTTGGAGGTTGCTCTGAAATGCAAAACAATCTTCAGCAAAAGATAAGGGGAAGAGCTCTAGGATTGCATCCCCCTGGACTGTTAACAAATGCCTCAGGAATAGATGTTCCTGAATCTTTCCACAAGTCTCTGTCTTTAGGGATGCTGTTCTGTTCAATCATTTTTTAATCGAGATGCTATTACTTTTTTTTTTCTAATAGGTAGAATTAATGGAGCCAACACCAGTATAGGGAGGGACTTGAAATATTGGGAAGCCATTGCTTCCCTTAGATCTGAAAGTGCAGGCAAGGAGGGCTTTCCTGCGTGCCATGTGTGTTGTGCTGTAGGAGAGGCCCTGTGCAACAGGAATTTGGTAGAGGATAAGGCTATTGACCAAAACTGCAGCTTAACAGGAAATTACTCATGGTGATTTATCCATCTGCTCATCCTTTGGCTTATGAATCTCCTGCAAGTGGTTTCCTTTGGCCGACGCCAAGCAGAAATGAGAGGCCTAGGAGCCCAGTGCAGCAGTTAGTAGAGAATAAGGAGGCCAGAGGCCAGAGGCTGCGGTAATCTGTTATCTTCAGAGCCAATCAGAGGACACAGAACAAACCTCACAGATGCCTCTGAGACCCCTTAAGAAGGCAGACAGATACTTAGATCTGGAACTCAGCGGAGGAGGGCCAGAGCAGATGCTGACTTGGAAGTCATCAGCATTGCAGTGTTTACATGTTTCTGATATTAAGAGCTAATATTTGTTGAGCATTTCTTTGTGCTAGGCAGTACACCAAAATTCCACATGCAGTGTTAGCTCAGTTATTTCTCCTAACAAAGCTAAAGGTGAAATACCATTACCTTACTGTACACAGTAGGCAACTGAAGCAAAGTGTAGTGAAGCAATTTGTTTAAGGTCACACAGCTATTAGGTGGCAGACCCAGAAATTAAGTGCCAGGCATTTCTACCCACCCAGGCTACTGATAAAAACCATTATTGGACACAGCTTGTCTGAGAGAATCAACTACTGAAGATATGTGTGTTGAGTCATATCATAATTTAAAAAAAACCTCTCCCCTCTTTTAAAATTTTTTTCTACTCTTTTGAAAGGAAACAATTCTGACAAGAATTCATTAGAGAAGATAGTCCAAATTTTAATGTCCTGGCTTGTGTATTGTTTTTGATTAAGGCTGTTAAGTAGCCTAGAATATTAGTAACCCACATATTCCCTCTACCTCACAAAGAGTAGGTTCACTTTTATCTTGGGAACAAAGCTGGATAGAAAAGCTTTTTTAACTTTTCTTAATTCCTGAAACATTTGTCTTTGAGTCAGGTTTTGTTATAGCAGCACAAATGTGGCCCGTCAGCATTTCTATTATAACCCCTTATTTCCAGGGCTTTTCAAGAGTGCCTTGGAGACTGCTTTGAATTAACTTGGCATTCAGGATTGAATTCAGGAAACTACATTTTCCTTACCAATTAATTAGTTTAGAAATTCTCAACTTAGGAGAGGGCCAAACCCAAAAATTTTATTAGTGCAAAAAATACCTTAAAGCAAATTTGCCAACTTAAAACATTGTAAAAATATTTACACTCATTATATAGTATAATATTATATCACTCTGTATTAGTTCTCAAAGAAAATGAACAATAAAAGTCCCTAGGATGAAACTAATAATAATTTTAACATCTTATACTGTGCCTGTTTGATTTTCTGAGTAATTTATTTCTACTTTGGGAATTAGGATGATTTGAAGTTCTCAGTATAACTGGTTTAAAGTCATAACAGTATCCAGATATGGAACCATAATACAAGGCATGGGGGGGTATCCAGAGAGGAGACCGAAGTGTTTCTGTGTATTTTTTGGTGAAATTTAAATTTATCTGGGGACCTTTTTCATTCTGTGAACTTGATTAGCAGCATGCACTGATTCTGTACATAGATCTTTGAAACTGAACTTCCTGAATACAATGGCAATCCTGAGGACTAAGTTACATAAAGCCTTTCTAACTTTTCTTAACTTAAAAATATTCCAAGAGTGACCAGTAAAAATGAGAGAACATTGTGATCACTTATCATTAGTAGCTCATTTTGTAAGATTTTTTTTCCTGCAATCTCTCTTCTAGCCTAAACACAAGGTAGTGAATGATAGTAGATGTAGCTGTTTGGATAAATCTACTCTCCTCCCGACTGATTTCTCTGAAGCTGCTCTGGCTTCTGTGTTTCAGAAGAGTGCCAGCAAACTGCTACCTGTGGACTTTTGCTCTACCTTTTCTTTCTTCTTGGAGTACACTTTCTCTGGCTGTCTACTTCATTAACTCCCTACTACCTACAGTCTTTGTTCAGACCTTACCTTGTGAATGAGACCAAACTGGATCACTCTGCTTGATGATTTGCCCTTAGTCCCCCTTAGGGACAAGATAAGTTTCCTGTACATGCTCTGAAGGCTGGTGAAGTAAACTAACAATAGAAACAAATAGATGAACAAGAGAAAAGGCATAGCAAGTTATCAATGTGCCTCAGCATGGGGGCTCTTCAAATATGAAGGTGAAAGAAGGTACAGATGAGTGAGGCTGAAATACCTTCTTCACTGGGGAAGTGGAAATGGGAGATGGGGCTGCAAGTGATTTCAGAGGGCCAGTAAATGACTTTTAGGGAAATTGATGGAACCCAAAGAACAGACACTAGATTGTAAAAGACTCCCTTTGGAAGATGAAGAACAGAAAGTAGCAATGACAGAGTCTTCCTAGGTGAGGTGACATTCCTGAGTCTTCCATCCCAGGGATGGTGAAACTTCAGGAAGTTCCAAGACAACTGTATTATTTTTGGAAAGTCTTTGTCCAGTCATGTAAGGAAACTTGGAGCTAGCTTGACTCTGAGACTGGTTTTCCAGCTCACCATGACAAAGCAGCACACTTTGGTTCTCATTCTCTGAGCCCCAGTATACCAATATCAATATTATTGATATTTATAACCCTGTCAGATATTTTCTTTTTATATACTTATCACCTCCTAACACTTTTTATACTTTTTTAGCAAAATATGTGTCTTCTGCTACTAAAAGATAAGGCCCATGAGGATAAGGTTCTTTGTTTGTTTTATTGGTTGACATATATTAAGCACTTAGAATTATGTCTAACAAATTAATTGCTCAAAAATAATTTGCTGAATGAAACCTGAATTTCAAAGCTCATAACAGGAATTCCCAAAAAACTATTCCAGATGTAATTTTCCTTGTTCTAAATAATTTGCATTATTTCCCTCATAGTTAAGAATTTTCTTTGAATGTTAGTGTCAAAATGAAAAGCCTCAGCTATAGATCCCCTTTTTAATGTGTTATGGATCCATCTTTCCTGGAAACATTTAAATTGAATTTTGGAAATTTCCAAAGTTAATTTTAATGTCTTTTAGAAAAGATAAATGGAAGATAAATGTGAAGTATGGTTTCCACAAAACAAAAGCTTATTCTGTATTTTAAAATACCACTGTATATATTTTATAACACTTTTATCCATGTGTTAATATTAATGCTGAACTTGGAAAGTTATGAAATTAAATTGTGATCCTATAATTTTAAAAGAAAAAGAAAAAACAATGAAATTTCTAGTCCCAACCCAGCAGTACTGAAAATGCTGTGTTAAAAGCAAACTATTCAGTGGAACCATTTAGCAAGGATTCACCACCAGCTCAATATACAACAGTAAGAATGGTAGAATTTGTATGTAGTTATCAGGACCGTGGCACCACATCCAACCTGTCTGATTCTAAATGGTGCTTAATGGCAAAAATTAATATTATCTGTCATGAAAATGTGTTAATTTTATTATTAGGCTAAAAATACTTAAAAGTTCAATTAAAATGAGCTTTCAATTTCTTTCACATATCAGATGGAATTTTATTTTATTTCTGCTTTGTCTTCCTAGGGCACTTGTGAGCAGTCACTCTATGGGCACATGCATTCTATCAATGATGCCATCTTCAGCCCTACAGTAAGCTCAATTCTTCCAATAAACTATTTTAATTCTTTATATGTGCAAATGCATTCTTATGAAACAAATTTCCAAGGTAAAATGGTAACACTACATTGGTGAGACTAACAATTTTAGGTATTAATTATAAACATGATAAATCAATAATAGAGGGGTGCAGAATTTTAAAACTCACACTTTCTCATGCATGTAGATAATGAGGAATAGTGGGAGTGATAAGGAATTCTCTTGAAATAAATTCCATTTACACACATTTTTAAGAGCTTTTTATCTAATTTGGACTTCACAAAAGTAAACAGATTAATAGATTGCATTAAAATTTATTGCATAATCAATAAAGTAATGTGCTTGAAAGGAAACCTGAATAAAAAAGCTAAAGAAATAGAGGTTTTTCTGTTCACAACATATAAACTGACAGCAAAAGTATTTTTATCTGCAGTTTTTTTTTTCTTTTGGCACCAGTGATCGAACTTGGGTCCTTGTGCCTGTGCAGCAGGCAACAAAACCACTGGGATAAAACCCCAGCCCTACCTGTGGTTTGATGTATTTAGATATAAGGATAATTTCACCAACCGTGAAAACTGCTCAACTTTGCTTTTTGTTGCTAAGCTCATTGAGTATATCTTTAAAAGGGTTCATATAATAGTTGTGGATGAATGACTTAACTTCCTACATTCTGAGATGAAAATGATTTGATTAGATAGATGACCTCTCAAGTCTTTTCGAACTCTAAGTGATTTAATTATACCTAACATTTTAATTTGACTTCAAGTTCTCAGTAGAGTGAGATCCTAATTCTATATCCTCTTCTTTTCCAATTAGCTAAAAAAGAAATCTGATAGATTACTTACATCTAACTTCACTTGATTTTAGCCAAAAGGCCAAGAAGCGATGCTTACATCTAACTTAAAAATGACAATGTAGTCAAAATTCTGTTACTATCATGTCATTAATATTCTTTTAGACGTAGGAAAAATACTCACTAAAAATTACATCTACTAAAAGGATGTTGATTGCTCCAGTTGAAATTGTGCTAGTGTCATTCTCATTCCTGAGAATTTTATGATGGGCTCAGGCACATATATTTTAATGGATTTGTCTTTGTAAGGAACATTCCATTTAATAGACTGTAGTGAGCCAATTAGTTGAAAAATATTATATTACAGATTGGTTCTAGATAACAAAGTAAAATTTTTTTTCTAGCGGAGTATAGAGACATTTAAGTACCATAGATCCATATGATATATTTATACTAAAATTCTGTCAAGTAGCTTATAGGTTCTTATGCCCTAGGAAAAGTAAATGTACTTTGAAATGAAGTTAACCAATAATTTGTAAGCCAGGCATTTTATTTTGGTAAGCAATATCATAGCTGAAAATGACACATCATTCAACATTCTAAATAGTAAAGTTAACAAATATTAAACTAGCCAAATGAGATTCACTAAATCAGCCATCAAGGAAAATAGACATTAATTATATATATTTCAAAGGGCAAGATGATGAATATGAGGTCCAGGTGTCCAATATCAAAACGACTAATCTGCTTTTGCTTACATGCTTTGTTCACACCAAAAGGACTGTTACAACACTATTCCCAATCAACTTCTCAAATCCCTATTGAACATTCCTATTCATTTATCTCTTCTTTAGTGCAAGTAATTATTAACTCTTAAGAGAAATGTTATGATAACTGACATTTATAAGTAAAATTCTTGGTCACCTTTATTAATTGTTTTGGAAATGAGTCATGTCACATACCTGCTAAGTGGGGAAGCAGAATGACTGCATATCCTAAAAGCTTTCAGGGTCTCTTGAAAACATGTCATGGAGACACCATTCTCATGCAAACACACTATCAAATTAGTGGTTACAGATGTGTTATATGGTGCAGATACAGCAGTTTATAGCAGTTTAGTTGCTTGGTATTAACCTTGCTAATTGTTTGAAGCCTCTAGGGAGAGGTACTCATGTTACATTATGAGCTAAAATGACATGTGGTTGTCTATATGAATGTAATTCTAGGAAAATTCTATAGCTGAGACATTTGTAAGCAGAAATCACAATATAAAATTTAGTGTTATCAATCTAGGAATCAAGATATATAAGCAACATTTATGTGTGGTCCTGAAAAACTATGTAAATTAATTTGTATTTCTGTGTTTATAGTATTAGAGCTCTGCTGTCTTGATTTCGGACTGATTTCTCATTGGAAGTATATATTTTTAATCTATTTTATAGTAATCTCTAATGAGACAGCTTTTTTACAAAGGAAAACCAAAAAATCAAAAGGAAGTTAAGAGGTATATGTTTCCAAACATATGAATAATTTAATATAAGGAAAGATAAAAAACAAACTAGCTATGGAATCCATCGATTTGTATATGTCCTGTATACACAACAGGGAAAGGACTATTGCAACACTACTCTTAATCAGCTTCTCAAATCTTTATTGAGCATTCCTATTAATTTATCTCTTCTTTTTTTTTAAATTAAATTCTTTTAGTGGTACATTGTAGGTGTACAACACAATTACATTTCTCATTGGGAACTGTACCTTTACATAATGCATCTTGGTTCTTATTTTGTCCCCATTCCTAGCCCTCCCTTCATCCCCTCCACCCTTCCCTATTTCCAAAGACTTTATTTCCATTTTTTCCATTTCTCAGCATTTGTCCTTTCCCTTCTTTCCTTTCCCCTGTGCCTCCCACTACCCCTACCTCTTTGGACCTTTTCTTCCTATTTTACATTATTGATTATTCATTCTAATCATTGGTACATTTTAGGTATACAATATAATGACATTCAT